AACTGTACATCCTTATTGGGAAAATTGTACCAATCTGTCTTTTTAATATTACTTCTGGAAAATAAGAGATTGAGTCATGCCTCAGGTGAAATAAGAGGGATACATGTGATTATTCTTCTTAATCATTTCTGTGGCAGATTAAGTTTAAAAAAAACAAAAGACCAGAATATCTTCACTGGTTGAGGGCAAAATCCTCTGTATCTATCTCTAATTGGGATGAGGAGAATAGAAAAGAGGGATATCATGAGCAGAGGACTAAAATCAATTTGGGCAATATTTGAAGGTTGCATTATATTATCTAGCCCAAAAAGAAAAGGACAGCAGAATAACTCTGACTAACTGTATTTTGGCCTCTTAGGGTCTTTCTGCCTAGTTTCTTAGTTTACAAGAACCAAAATTAGGCCTCATCTAGGAAAGGCCAATTTTGACAACAAAAACAGGTTAGGAAGTTTGGTAGGGACTGATAGGATAATAAATGTGTATTATTACTTTTTAAAAAAAATTTATTAGAAAGAGAGAGAGAGAGAGGGAGGGTGGGTGTGGGGGAGGAGGGGCAGAGGGCAAGACAGAATCCCAAGCAGAACCCCTGCAGACCTCGGAGCCCAACGTGGGGCTCAATCTCACGATCCTGGGATTACAACCCTGAGATCAAGACCTGCGCCAAAACCAAGAGTTGGACACTTAACCGAATGTGCCACCCAGGCACCCCATAAATGTGTTCAGAAGATCCATGAAAGCCACAGCAAAATAGACCCACGTGAGAAAAGAGCCAGGGTGGTGAGAGGTGGTTAAGGAGGGGATTTAGCTCAGAAGAGGAGGTAATACAGGGAGATGAGTAAAGAACCCACAAAATGCAGCATTTGGCCTCCTTGATATTTTCTATGAGGGGCACAAACATGTAAAAAAACTATCACCCTATCACCAACGTTAAAGTCCCAGGCATATAGGAATAAAGCAGTGCTCTGGGTAAAGCAACTCTTGTTGCATATAACATGAATGGCTGGCCTCAGTATAGCTAAGCTAGGGAAAGGTAATTGAGAAAAGCATGTAGGATGGGTTAAAGAAAAGGTTTCCTGAGACAAACAAAACTGCAACTGACAACTGTCTAAACTACAGGTTAACAACAGCAGCTAATAGAAAGATTTATTGTTCTGTATTTAGACATGGGGTAGTATTTTCGAAGGTAAGTGCTAGGTTGACTAGGAATCTAAGAAATCATGTTATAAACCATGACCACTGTGACAAAAGAGAATTTTAACATGGCTGAGTGTAGAAAGGTTTTTAAGATTTATTTTATTTATTTGAGAGAGAGATAAAAAAGAGCATGCATGAGCACAAGAGTGGGGGAAGGGGCAGAGGGAGAGAATATTCAAGCAGACTCCCCTCTCTGAGCATGGGGCTGGAGGCGGGGCTCAATCCCACGACCCATGAGATCATGACCTGCACCTAAACCAAATGTTGGATGCTTAACTGACTGAGCCACCCAGGTGCCCTGGAAAGGATTTTTAAACAAAAAATTTCCCCTTTTTACATCTGTATATGTATCCAATGATAATATAGTTAAGTGGCTAGTACTTTTAAATAACTATTAGAACAGACGATTCAATGAAGAGTTAATTCCTACCTATAAAGTAATGACTTTACTGAAAGATGATCAATATATAAATATTAAAATAAAACAGATTCTCTGATAATCTGTGACATTATTTGTAGAATTTTATTTAGAAAGAGAACACATTTATTCTCCATTCAGGTAACTTACAACTTCTATTCTAGCTATATGGCTGTTTTTTAATACATTACTGGTGATTAAAAGAACAGGGCAAAGAAAAAACTAACTGAGGTCAAAAGCTACATATCTGGGAAAATAAGCCTGATTGAGAAGCACCTGGAAGAAATAAAATCATATACTATGTCATACTATTTCTTACTAGATGCTGGAAAACAACAGAGGGCATTAAAGTGAGAGAGGGGCTAAAGTGAGAGAGTGATATAAATATTTATACAAGTACATATTTAAAAAAGCATTTGGGTGCCTGGGTGGCTCAGTCGTTAAGCGTCTGCCTTCGGCTCAGATCATGGTCCCAGGGTCCTGGGATCAAGCCCCGCTTCGGGCTCCCTGCTCCACGAGAAGCCTGCTTTTCCCTCTCCCACTCCCCCTCCCTGGGTTCCCTCTCTCGCTGTGTCTCTCTCTGTCAAATAAATAAATAAAATCTTTAAAAAATAATAATAAATAAAAAAGCATTTAACCATCATTATTTTAAGAATCAAAAAATTGTATTCCATATGTAAATCCTTATGAAGAGCAGTCAGTTCATAGCGGTCAATATATCAGCAGACATACTCTATCTACAAATCTGTTTACAAATCCTCTCAAAATTTACGAAAATCTTTTTTTTTTTTTTAAAGATTTTATTTATTTGAGAGAGAGAACACATGAGAGGGGGGAGGGTCAGAGGGAGAAGCGGACTCCCTGCTGAGCAGAGAGCCCGATGCGGGACTCGATCCCGCGACTCCAAGATCATGCCCTGAGCCAAAGGCAGTCACTTAACCAACTGAGCCACCCAGGTGCCCAAAATTTACGAAAATCTTAAACACAAATGTCCTCTGCTATACCACACATAGAGGAAGGCAGGCTCTCCTAGAAGCTCAAAATGAGGTTTTCTTCCTGGATGTTTCAGATGACACTGTGTTCCTTTTGCAACACAGCAAATGTCTACAGAAAAATCCATTTGGGGCGCCTAGGCGGCTCAGTCGTTAAGCGTCTGCCTTCAGCTCAGGTCAGGGTCCCAGGTCCTGGGATCGAGCCCCACATTGGGCTCCCTGCTCAGTGGGAAGCCTGCTTCTCCCTCTCCCACTCCCCCGCTTGTGTTCCCTCTCTCGCTATATCTCTCTGTAAGATAAATAAATAAAATTAAAAAAAAAAAAAGAAAAAAAAATCCATTTTAAATGATTAACACTGTTGAATGAAGTCTGGATTGAGTGTTCGCTATTATCATCTGTAACGTAACTTATATGATTAAAACCACTGTGAGTTCACAGAGTCCTGATTTAAAAAAGAAGTCTTGAGATATAATCTGTATAAGCTTGTTTATACTCTCCTTTTCCTTGGTGTTACCTGGATTTTATTCTACATGCACTGCACACTGGATTTTAAGTAAAGGAGTAAATGATCTCATGTACCATTTTAGAGATCAATCTGGCTGTTGTGGGAGCGAATGGAGGTTTCAAGAGACAAAGAGGTGTGCTGACTAGGAGGCTTTTGCAATAGCGTAGGCAAAAGATGAGAGTGGACTGGATTAAGGGCAGTCGTAGTAGGGAAAGAAAAAGAGGGAATAAGAAACAGGACTTGCGGATATTAGATATGGTTATTAAAAGAGAAAAGCATCAAGAAGAGATCCACTAAATTTTTGGTTTTAGGTATCTGGATGACTGGAGATATCATTTACTGAAGGGGGATAACAAGAGAAGGAACAGATTTTTGTTCTGAGAAGGTGGGTTAGCTTGAGGGAAGACCAAGATTTTTATTTTGGGCACCCAAGAGAATATGCCAAGTAGGTGATTAGCTGAATATATATATGTCTGGAATGGTCAAGCCCAGAGATATAAATTGGGAGATACTGGCACTAGAATGAATGTCAAGTAAGTAGGGACTCTAGTTTTTTTGTTTCTGGTTTGCTGTTCTTTTTAATGCCATGCCTAAAAGAATGCCTAGAATAGTATTTGCAAGTAGCAGGGGATTCAATAAATATCTGTTGAGTGAATAAATGAGTGGACATAAAAATGGAGAAGTTATAGGACGGTATGAACTTAAGACCTAGAGATTGCAGATGGAACTCTTGATGGTTAAAACACACACACACACACACACACAAATACGGGGTGGAGGAGACAATGAGCACAGGGGGAGGGGAAGGGAGAGTTTCAGCAAAGGAGACTGAGGTAGAGGGTAGGGGATGTTTAACAGATAAACAGGAATTAATAAGGAAAGGGTAGGTGGGAGAAGTAGGAAGAGCATCTCACACACATGCAGTATGTCAGAGGCAAAGGAAAAGAGCACACTATATCAAAAACTAATGATGTAATGTATGGTGATTAACATAATAAAATAAAATTAAAAAAAAAAAAAAGGAAAAGAGCATGTTCAGGAAACAAAAAGGCAAGACCTAAGAGATCCAGGGAGGGAATAGCAAGAGATAAGGTTGGATAAGCAGGTACCAAAATTAAGAAGAGCCTTGTGTGCAGTACTAAGGAGACTGATATTTGTCATGAGAATAATCAGAAGAAGCCACTTGTAATATATATATTTATTTTGGTGGTCTTCAAATCAGTTTGGGGAAAATATTTGTAAATTTAAATACAAATACACTTAATGTAAGATTAGGCCATTTATATATTAAATATTTTTAAGGGTTTTTTTTTAGTAATTTCTACAAACTATGTGGGGCTAAAACTCAGAACCCTGAGATCAACATTCATGCTCTTCTCACTAAGCCAGGCAGGTGCCCCCATTTTTATATTTAATACATTTTTAAAATGGAGAGGCAGGATAGCTTAATGGATAAGAGTACAAATTTTAGACCCAGAACTCCTGTATTCAAACCCTAGCTATACTGCGTGGTGGTTCTGTGACTGTGGGCAAACTATGTAACCTGTGCTTCCCTGATTTTTTTTTTTTTTAAGATTTTATTTATTTATTTGACAGAGAGAGAGTGAGCACAAGCAGAGGGAGCGTCAGGGAGAGGCAGAGGGAGAAGCAGGCTCCCCGGCTGAGCAGGGAGCCCCATGCGGTGCTCGATCCCAGGACTCTGGGACCATGACCCGAGCCGAAGGCAGCCGCTTAACGACTGAGCCACCCAGGCGCCCCTGCTTCCCTAATTTTAAACGGATGTTTTAATAGTAAAGAAGAAAATAATAGCACCTTCTCAAAGGGCTGTTAAAATATTAGTTAACATGGTATTCTGTAAATGTTAGCTATTATTATTAAAGATACAATTTACCTGCTTTTTAATGGCATAATTTTCACCATCTTCAGCTTTCATTTTTTCGATCTTTTCTTCTTGTTGTTTTGCTTCTTTCTCATACATCATTTTTTCTTTGACCAATCTATAAATAAACCAAAAATGGTTCCAAGAATTAGAATTAACTTTCTCTCTAGCAAACAGACCATGGGAAACAAAGAAAATGTAAATATAAAACATACTTAGAATACCAAAGTATGTGTACTAGATGGGGAGAAGGTTAAGGAGAAAAGAAAAATACTTTGCCATAGATATAAGTCTGATCCTCAGGCCCGTAAGTCCTATACCTGTCTAAAGCAAGTATAATCTTCAAAGCATGAAATTCTTAAATTTTTAATTAAAAATATGTTTCACTATAATAATTGTATTTACAATGTAAAAACACACAAAATTATTATGTACTAACATTTGTCCTTTTAATTAATATATTGTTTCCAAATTTTTATACATGTACTTGAAACATAACGGAAAAAGCTCAACTTACTGGAAAAAAAATCAGTATATTGCATGCCAAATCACAAAGAAAGATTACATTATCTTCAACAATAAAATTGTTTAACAAGTATTTACCATTCACTTAATTTGATGCCTAACCTTCCTTGTGTGAGGGACTGGGGTAGATAATTTAGACATGGTTCTCTTAGGGACAAACAGTGGAAACAAGAAAAGATATTGATAAAGATCAGGGAGATTTTCAACAATAAATTGGAAGAGAGAAATACAAAGTTCTACTGATTATTCCTCAAATAACCAAAGTACAGTTAATCATAATAGCTCAATCTCCTCTAATCCTGGTTTATCAGTTTTAATATAAAACAAAAATGTAGTTCAAGAAAACACTAACACTCACAATATCTAAACAGCAGAATAAAAAGCTTTCAGTGTTCATATATATTAAAAGTAGCTTTCTCCATCTGACTCATTTATTAATTTCTAGACCTATGTTTCTGGGATGGAATTTAAAAATATAAGAGAATGGCTTTTGTCTAATAATTTGCAATGACACTAAGATTTTTAAGTATATTTCAAAACAGGATTTAAAAATATATATATTTTATTTATTTATTTTAGAGAGTGTGTGTACACCAAGGAAGGAACAGAGGGGGAAAGAATCTCAAGCACCACGCAGGGCAATGAATATAAACAAGTAACAGAGGATACTCAAGAAACAAATAATCAGGGAGACACTACTTGGGAAAGTACTATTTCTGGTTACCTGAGGAGAAAAGCCCTAATGATTCGGGGTAGGGGAGGTCAGCTGAGGTCAGCTGGGAGTTAAATTTTTTTTTGAGCTTTTACATTTGAGTTTATTCTTCATTTGACTTTTAAAACATTCCTATAGCTGAATATTAATACAAAAAAACAATAGCAAGTAGTGAGTTATGAGTATAGTCCTTCACCCATTCACTACTACATATAAAATGCCAATAGTCAGTGTTATTCACTGGTCTCATTAAGAGGTCTGACATTGGGGGTGCCTGGGTGGCTCAGTCATTAAGCGTCTGCCTTCAGCTCAGGTCATGATCCCAGGGTCCTGGGATTGAGCCCCACATCGGGCTCCCTGCTCAGCGGGAAGCCTGCTTCTTCCTCTCCCACTCCCTCTGCTTGTGTTCCCTCTCTCGCTGTGTCTCTCTCTGTCAAATAAATAAATAAAATGTATATAAAAAAAAAAAAAGAGGTCTGACATTGAACACCACCCCTAGGATGTTTATCATCCTCATTATGCTTCTCCATTGTAATGGTGCCATCTTTCCTGATTTGGATCAAAGTTCACCAGTTTTTTCAATTTTGAATAATTTTAAAGTTCGCTAGTTATTCCTATAGCAATATTTTCTAAATTTTTTGGAATAAAGCAAAATTCAATTAGAAAGACAACAAAATTTATCTAATAGTTGTATTTCTCTAAACATTGCTCTCTTTTGCAAGTTTTGCAAATGTTATTAGTTAAATAACAAGTACAAATAGAAGTCATAATTTATTATATTTTAAAGGCATAATTAACTGAAAATATTTTCTACTAGTGTTAAGTATTTTCTGTTAGTAACAAACTCATACCCATAGAGAAACATAGCAATTTCAAAATCTGGTCACTTTCAGTAGTTAGACAAATACCTGAGAAAAAATTACAAAAATAAGAGCAATAGAAAAGGATTGACATAAGGAGGAGAAAGGAGAAACTTTAAGAAATGACAATCAGGGGAGTGATAAATAACTTAAATTTTTAATTATATAAGTATGGCATTAATGTGATTTTTAAATATGTAGTCTGATGTTTTCCAAACTACTCCATGGTATACAAGTGGTCAAATAAGCTTAAAAAACACTGTTTGCTGGGGAACCTGGGTGGCTCAGCTGGTTAAGTATCTGACTCTTGATTTTGGCTCAGGTCTTGATCTCAGGGTTGTGAGACTGAGCCCTGCGTGGGGCTTTGTGCTGGCGAGGAGCCTGCTTAAGGTTCTCTCTCTCCTTCTCCTCTGCACCCTGTCAAAAAAACAAAAAAAAAATCCCAAAAAACAAAGAATGTGTATTCTTGTATTGTCAAATGGTGTATTCTCTAAATGTCAATTAGATCCAGTGATTGGATGGTGTTGGTCAATTTTTTATATCCTTGCTGTATTTCTATTGTTCTGTTACAAAGAGAAGAGTGCACATTCACGCTCTCTCTAAAAAGAAACCAAACCAAAACAAAACAAAACAACACTGCGGGCCAAATATTAAAGATTTAGGATTTGTATTTGCATATTAAAAGATCCTGAGAAGTCCTGTGGTAAGGAAATCAGTTTATCTTTGTTCAACTGCAAGCTTATTTGAGGCAAAAAAAAAAAAGACTTTTCTCCACTCAGCATTCTCCAGAACAGCTGTCCCTCAACAGAAGCCTGAGAAGTAGATTGTAGAAAGCTGTAAACTACACGAATTTGTATACAACACATTTAAACATACTGTTCATAAAATTCTAAATAGAACACAAGTTTTGGGTATATCAAGAATTTAGAGACCTTGAGATAAAAAAGTTTTAGCTTAATTTGTTTTGCTTGTACAGTTTTTATTATAGTAATTAAGATTTTCACAGTTATACCCCAACTTGTACTTGAGGCCATCTAATAACTAATAGTCCAATACCAAGCAAAGGATACTGATGATAGGTCAATGTAATTAATGGTGCCAAGAAACTATAACTGATACTAAGAAAAACATTCTGTTATGGATATTTTCAAACAAAAAAAATCTAGAAAAAATAACATAGTAAATCCCATGCATTCTTCACTGAACATTAATAATTAGTATTTGGGCAGTCTTGGTTCATGTATCTCCTGCTACTTATTTATTTATTAGTATCTTCAGACATATCATCTTTAGTTTGATTTTTACCTGTGATTTCTACCCCACCTCCCCACTTTACACCAACCATATAAAAAAATTAACTCAAGATGGATCAAAGATCTAAAAGGCTAAAATTAGAAAACTTTTGGAAGAAAACATAGGGGTAAATCTTTTTTTTTTCCAGAGTACATCTTGATGACTCTGAATTTTTAGATATGACACCAAAACTGTAAGAAAAAGAAAGGAAAAAAAATAAATTGGCTTTTGTCAAAGTTAAAAACTTTTGTGCTTCAAAGGACACTATTAGGAAAGTGAAAAAGACAACAGAATGGGAGAAAATATTTGAAAATCATACATAGAATAAGAAACTTATATCTAGAATCTATAAATAACTTACAATTTGATAATAAAAAGACAAATAACCCAACTAAAAATGGGTAAAGAGAATCTGAATAGACATTTCTCCAAAGAAAATACACAAATGCCCAATAAACACATGAAAAGTCTTCATTAGTTATCAGGGAAATGTACATCAAAACCACAGTGAGATATCCCTTCAAACTCATTAGGATGACTATAATTAGAAAGTCAGAAAAAAAAAGACAGATAATAACAAGTGTTGCTGACAAGGATGTGGAAAAAGTGAAGCCATCAAACACTGCTGGTAGGAATGCAAACTGGTATACCTGCTTTGGAAGTTTAGCCATTCCTCAAAAAGTTCAACAGAGAGTTACCATATATACCAGTAATTCCATTCCTAAGTGTATACCCAAGAGAAATGAAAACATATGTCCACATAAAAACTTGTACATGAGTGTTCATAGCAGCATTATGCATAATAGGCAAAATGTGAAAACAACTCAAAAGCCCATCAACTGATGGACAAATAAAATATGATACACCCATATAAGAGAATAATATTTAGCAATAAACAGAAATAGGAAGAGTAGGAGACCCTGGTTTCACCTGGTCTCAGGAATTCAGCTAGGTAGCTATCAAATCATTCTGAACACCTGCAAACTCAACCAGAGATCTAAGAAAATAATAGCTGCAACTCTACAAATAAAAAAGCGACCACTTTCTCCAAGGTAGGAGGTGTGGAGAAGTGAATCTGAGGCAGTATATGGGATGATAAACTGCAGGAGGAGGGAACCTACGTAAGCCAGCTACTGGAAAGCGATATAGCAGTGGAGTGCAAAATCAGAACTTTTAAAAGTCTGCTCCAGTGAGGGACATCCCTGCCTGAGAAGTGGCCAGGTGGCAAAGTGGGCGGAATCCTAGGTGAGACAGTGTGGTCTCAGGATCCCCTGGGTTTCAGAAAGACCGGGGGTGCCTGAGTGTGGCAGAGCTCCCAGGCATCCGAGCGGGGAAGCCAGCTGCAATCAACAAGCCCAGGAGTGGGCTTTCAGCTCAAGGTTGCCATAAACTGCAAACCCCAGCACAGGCAGGCGACTACTCTCTGAGCAGGGGCCCAGCAAGTGGCAGAATCAGCGAGTCTCCCCTTCCTACCTGGGGAGGAGACGCACAGTTATGCACCACACGAGTCTTCAGGGTCTGGGGACTCAAAATGGGGTCCCATGACTGAGATACAAATGTTCAGTAACAGGCTAGGTGAGCATAGAGCAGACAGAGACCAGGGAGACAGGAGTGACGGACTGCTTTTCCCTGAGGGCTCACTGAGGAGTGGGGCCCTGAGCTCTTGGCTCCGGGGCTGGAGATTGGGAGGCCACCATTTTCATTCTCATCCTCTAAAAGTGGTGTGGA